TGGGGATGATCCCACGATAGAGGTGTCCTAATTTCATACTGTGCTCAGCATTCAGCCAAGAGAACATAGCAACACCACACGGGGTTAAAATTATGTGCTCTTGATTCAACATAATAAATTATAAAATCTTGTAGGACGCATCACGCAGCTTCATAAGTAAAAAACTGGTTGTGAGCAACACTGGCTCACACTCAAATCACTGCTTTTCACCGGAAAAATATTTTATTTCAACGTTTCGGTCATATAATAAATTATACTTCCTCCGCGTCATTAAAATTGTCGCTTCCGAGAGCGATTTTTCGAAAATATTTTGTCCGCTCAAAGGGCAAAGAAATCAGCTAGAATTTGAGGCAGATCATTGTTGACGGACCAAGCTTTAGTTTGTGCCCCCCCCCCCCCCGCGCTTTGCTGCACTTGCCGATAAGTTCGACGTCTTCATCAGAGTGTGAGGCAGACCCTTCAGCACTCAACAATACGCTGAACAAGACGCGCGTTCAAATTCAGGTCAAGAGACTTCGTTTTCAAGCGATCCATGCCTCCAGGTGGCAGGCGATGAAGGCAAGCTAGCATTTTTCAAGTACACTGTAACGACCTTCCAGCAGGATAGGGTAAGCAATTCCACACCTTCTTTCCTTGGCAAGCGCTTCGCTGATTTTGTTGGTGTTTTCAGACCTGCTACCGTCGCAGTCAGGCAGGCACAGTGGGTTGGTCAAAGACCATGATTGAGATACGAGAGGTACCTGGTTCAAGTCCTGCCTGGGAGCGGTTTTTCCAGCCGTGCTGCTACCCATAGTCAACTGGGAACTTGTGGCCAAGCACAAGGGGTACATGGATGCAGCTAATGGGGTCGTTCTCGGCACTTGTGCCAGTGGTTGTGAGACTTATCCACTCACCCCCACCGTTAGGCGCTGCATCTGCCGCTAGGATTTACCGGGTGTTAGCGGCCGTCGTGAGTTCCCTTCGTGAACGGACACGATAATTTACTTACTTACTTACCTTCGCAGCAACATGCGCCACAAGTAGCGCATTTTAGGAATTTGAGACAACTTTGTTCTTGCCATCGTCACCTTCAGCAGTTTGTATTCAGGAGAGATACCAGGATTCTTATACCCGAGCTTGCAGTCTTGACAAATGCCCACGCAAACGATGTGGGACGCACGAACTCCAGCAAACGAAATGCGCTCTGGGGCGGAATAATGCGGAGCGCGATGAATTTGCTTGTTGCGGAAGAGAGCTCCGACAAAGTTCGTGACCACCACGGCTTCAGTGACAAGTAGACATTGCGCAGGAAGGGTCATACCAGTGTTCGAACACAGAAAACAGCGATTCCGACAGTCTGACTAACACGAGCCAAGTCACAAATATTGCGATGTGCGAAGCGACAATTTTAATGACGCGAAGGAAGTAGGTGTTTCATATCATGGGGAATTGTGTGTTGCTCCCTACGTGAGAGCTCGCGCGTTTCCTGCCGACTTGAATTCTCACTTGACTGACTCACGACTGCCATGCATCCGGAGCACACGGGAAGTACTGTAAATCGAACCTTCCACTCAGCAAACCTGCAAGAGGGCACCACACATAGGGAGGATCACACAATTCCCCAAGTATCGCCGAAGGTGCACCAACCTCTTCTTCACATATCTTTAACAACCATTTTTTTTGCAAAAATGGCATCCGAACTTGGATATTCAGTCATACAATAATGTTCTAGTTGACAGCCTCAGTTCCGATAATATTCACTGAAGAGCGGAACACGAAAATCGATTTTGAATAATAAAAATCCTTTAAAATTCCATTAACTCGTTGTTGTCTGGCCATGTCTGCATCTATTATACTCTTTATTGCACTCATGATACATGTAGATATTTCTTCATCGATTGTTAGTAGAGATGTACAGCTATGAGTGGGTGGAGCGGTGAGAAGTATGGTGCCACCAAGACTACATATCCATGTACATTCTACATAAAGCTGGATCTTTGCTGGTACAGCATCGTGACGATTGTTATTGTAAACTTATCCTGAATCGGAAGCGTCTCGATCTAAATCTGATACTGCCAGACAGTTGCAATACATGGAGCAAGGCCAGTGGAAAGAAGGTCCAGAAACCCAAGAGAGAGGAGAGGAGACCGTTTAAAACAATGGCAGTGCAGCAGATGCAGTGACTTATGCCCTCCTGTCCCGTTCAGTAATTGTAGCAGCAGTGATCTGTTGTTTCTACCATGTACACATAGATACAGTGCTAGTTTGTAAGTCAAGAGCTCAGGGTGACACCGCGCTTCGCTTGTCACAGCGGGCAACTTGTTTGGAGCGGTTTCCCCACAGCCCTTCACACGGTTGCTAACGCTATCCGCGATATTTCTGTGCACTGGCCAATCTGTACACACATCGGAGTAATCGTGCGTGTGCTTACTTGTCCGTGCGTGTGCCTGTGTGTGTGTGTGTGTGTGTGTGTGTGTGTGTGTGTGTGTGTATGTGTGTGTGTTTGTGAGAGAGAGGGAGAGAAAGAGAGAGAGAGAAAGAGAGAGAGTTTCTTCACCTCCTCCTGCTACTTTATAACTGCTACTGCATTTCGCCTCGTCACTATTACGCTTTTACCCCTTGCGTCTCTGTGCTCTTGTGTCTACAATACCTTGTGCAACTCTTGGTGTCACATTTGTTACAATTTCGCTTTGTGTCTATTACTAGCTCCTTACCAAACCATTGCACCGACTTGGTGGTTTCCTTACTTTGTACAGCTGTAATAGCAGCCCTCTCCCTAATCCTCTCTTCATCATTTTGAAAGAGACGACACAAAGTTTTTTTTCTGGTGAAAAGCAGTGATTGAGTGTGAGCCAGTGTTGTTCACAACCAAATTTTCGACACAAAGTTGTTCAAACTTTAATGACACCTACATGTGCGTTCTTCTATAACGATACCATTCTGTATGATTCAAGAAGTTCCGTTAGACCTTAGTCCTGTTCATCTTCTGTGGTTGGACTCTCTACAGTTGGAGTTCATGAATCGTTTGGCTGGACCGTCGCTGGTACATGTACACCATTGTTAGGAGACTCAAGGTATGATTAATTGGCTGACTCTGTCTGCCTGTCTGTCTGTCTTTCACTTCTCTTGTCCTTTCTTTTCTCCTCCTTTTTTCTCTCTCTCTCCCTCTCTCTCTCTCTCTCTCTCTCTCTCTCTCTCTCTCTCTCTCTCTCTCTCTCTCTCTCTCTCTCTCTCTCTCTCTCTCTCTCTCTCTCTCTCTCTCTCTCTCTCTCTCTTTCTCTCTCTTTCTCTCTCTCTCTCTTTCTCTGCAATTAATTACTATTGGCTCAACATCGTTGTAATGCGAATGTACGAAATTAGGCCCAAGCCTTAGATATACATGTACAATGTACACGGTATTCACTTTTGCCATGGACTTCACTGGACGATCAACAGCTCAACACTGCTTCCTTTGGCCTTCTGTTGCATACTAGCCCTTGGCGGAATGGATAGTGTTCGAAAAATTGGCAGATTTTGCTTCAAAAGCAGTGAAATTGGCATAACCAAGTCCAAGCAAACTTCATGGCAGATTCGTCCGTTATTTTCTTCTTCATTTCTTTTATCCACATGCCGAACAGGCATGAAGCATACCATAGAAATTACCCGGCATATTCTGCCGGTTTTTCTGCCGGCATTATCCGCCATTGGCTATACTGTGCACAGACTTGAGGCTACATGCACTGTTGTGGCAACTGACCACTGTGCAGAGCATTGTGCTGTAGAACCAAAGTAAATAATTCAACGATATTTGCGCACTGTGAAAATCCGTATGCCGTACGTGCCGGGGAGCGAGGACAACTTTCAAACGTAAATCTCTCTACAGATTTCCGTAGCTTTCCTACGTTCCCTTGTTTGTACAGGTACACACAGGACCAATAGGACATGGCGGTTATGTACTCTTGGTCACATAGGTAGGACTTTGTGAAACGCAATTGGAAGCTCTCTGGTATATATATGTGCTCATGATGAGTCAGACACTTGTGTCGGGATGTTTTTCTCACAAACAGTGAAAGGTTGCATATCGTCTGGAGATATCGGATGGAGAGCCAAGGATCAATTTAGAGAAAAAGGGCCAATTGCTGGACTGGTGTAACTGGTGGTGTTAGTGGACATTATAGCGTAACTTGTAGTTCCTTGGTCCTTTTTCTTTTCTATAGAATAGATACCGGTATCGTGTTTCTTTTCTATTCATATGGCCCCCTTGCTAATTACAAGATAACTGCATTGCCCTTGCATTTTAATGCAGTTATCTTGTAATTATGGGTTAGTGTCATAGGGATGCGTTGAATGCGATGAGTAAAAGTAAGTAAATAGGAATGTTCTGCTATACGTTTCGGGAACGCGACGCAAAGAGTCACGCGAACTCTCTTCGCGTTCCCGTAACGTAAAGAAATCCTGTTCTGCTCTACGCTTCACGTAGAGAAGCCACGTGGAATGTGTACTGGGAATTTCCCCTTCCATGTTTGGCAGTTTTCTGCATGCAGTTGATCGATACCCAGCAAATCCGTACGCATTTTCTCTGCGTGTGCCACAACGTAGAGAACCTCATCTCCGCGTAGGAGTCTGGAGCCAAAACACGCGAAGCCGTAGACTCTAACCCAGAAACCTGGTCTCTACGTGATTTCTCTACGTTTCACGTATAGCAGAACCTCTCTAATGATCGTGTCCGTTCCCGAAGGGAACTCACGACGGCCGCGAACGCCCTGTAAGCCCTAGCGGCGGATTCAGCGGCTAACTGTGGGGGTGAGTGGACAAGTCTAGCTCACAACCACTGCATGGCACAAGTGCCGAGAAACCCCATTAGCCACATTCATGTACCCGTTGTGCCTGGCCACAAGTTCCCAGTTGACTGTGGGTAGCAGCAAAACCGCTCCCAGCTAGGCAGGACTTGGACCAGGTACCTCTCGTATCTCAATCATGATCTTTGGCCAACCCACTGTGCACATGTGCCTGCCTGGTCCAATGCAATACAACACAACAAATAGTCGAAAGTACAAGTAACATTGAAGACCGGTCACTATAACACACGGTCGACCAAGAGTGAAAACCTGTGCGTTCCTATTTTCTAGGAAAGCCACAGAACAAGGCAGATAATAAACCCTCAAGTGTATGTGAAGAGAAGAGGAAATGGGGAGAAAACAGGAGCGCGCAGCAAGATGATCATGTTCACTGTGACTAGTAATCGAAAGGCGTTCAAGGCTTTACCAGCACAGCCGCTGATGCAAACACAGCACTGAAACGGTACCACGTGACCGCACACGCAAGAGTCAGTACTGAAACTTGCATGGTGGCCACTCAACTACTACGCAAGTTAAATTAATCAGCAAATGTTGGAGCACCTCAAGGACTGCATACAAGTGAAAAGTAGGCAAATAGCACAAAGAAAGAAGAAAAACAAGAAGTGAAAATAAAACCAGAACAGCATCTCATGTGCTTCCCCGGCATGGGGTGGAGTTTATGGTGTTTTGGTGGTTGCAGCGTTGACGGTGTTACCGGTGACCAGGGTACTAGGGTGTTGGCGCTCGCGTGGTGGTAGTAGTAGTGGCGCTGTGGCACAGATGACAACGGTCACTATAATCATGTAATCAAGAGTACATAATTTACGTCGTTTATGCACTCATGATGTAATGCACACAGTGTACGGCCGTTAACCCGTGGTAATGCCTCTGGTGCAGAGCTGATCTGGCCATATGGCTGCAGGACATACATGTACGTGTGAAGAAGAGCCAAGAACCAAACTCGACAGACCAATAATCTTTAAACAAAATACACATATGGCCAGCATGGCAGGAGTGAAGAGAGAGAAAGCTGCCTCGGCCGGCCTTGTTTTGTAATCTTCAAGAATATAAATAATTAGTGCCCATGCTCAATACTGGCCAGGCAAGGTAGATTTCACATTCACTCGATGAAAGGCTTTCTGAACGTTCACTGCTGACGGCAGTTGTTGCCCCCAGCTCCCGGTGCTCTTATTGCTCACACGCGGCGGGAGACTTGAAGTAACGCTTGACACGATGCCAGCGCAGCGCTCCGCCGGGGAACACGGAGAACTCCTTGGTTTCGGGGTTCACTGTGCCGGCGACGAGGTATCGCTTATCCCTCTTGAGCCCCAGGCCGCACGGCTGTGGGCAGCGTGCTGTCAGTGGGCTTGCCAGGGGTTTCAGCACCGGCAGGGGCTTCTTGTTGAGCGTTCTCGCCACCGGAATGCACTGGGAGTTCGCCGACGGCGTGCGCAGGTGGTACATGTGCGAGAGAGCGTCGTGGGCGGCAGAGCTGTTCGCGCAGATGGCGAGGACGTCGAAATAGAAATGACTGTGGACCTCCTTCTGGATCTTGCCTATTATAGCTGTGCACAGTCAAATAGAAGGACAGTCCAGAAAACCAGAGCAGACGAGATCAGACCAGATCAGAGCAGACCAAACATGGCGGACAAACATACACACACGCATGCAAACATGCAGACGTGCACACACAAATGTGTACACACACGCACACATACGTACACACACACACACACGCACACACACACACACACACACACACACACACACACACACACACACACACCTTAGACCTTAGACATGCCCATCGCGGGAGCGATGATAGCGAACAGCTATGTTAGACATAGCAACTTGTGCTGGGATTACACCATTCAACAGCTTGCAAGGCTGATGAATTGACCGCCACTATTTTTAGCCTGGTATCCACCACACAGCTGTTGAAGTGACTTTTTCTGGCCAGTGAATCCCTATTTTTCATTTTTCCATTTTTTCTTTTTTTCTTTTTTTTCTTTTTCTATACACACACCACACCACATACTCCAGCATACACTGGCTGTTGGTAACCACCCAGGAGAATGAAAGAAAAGTCAGGAAGAGTCTGAGAAAGAGGCAACACACACACACACACACACACACACACACACACACACACACACACACACACACACACACACACACACACATACATGCACATACATGCACAAACACACAGAAATACGCACAGAAATAAACACACACACAAATACACACAAATACACACACATACACAATTATTATAATGCTCACCGGGCACAAACTTCATCAGCCAACTCAAGCTCAACTGATGAGAGCCAAGGATAAGAATTTAAAGTAAGGGCCAACAGTGTTTCTGTTACCCGTTGTTTGTGTCCAACACTAGCAATGGGACAGATTGTATAAGCAGAAATATTCGTCTGGAATTTAATTTCGTCTTTTTCGTCCAAGGAGCTTTTGGACTAAATTAAATGCCTGACGAATATCGTTTTGTCCAGCTTTTCAATACACTCTTATGATCCATGGACGAAATTTACAACCGGACGAACTCCCTTTCTTTCGAGTTGGACGAAATTATTGACCGACGAAATTTTCTGCTTATACAGTATGTATCAATTTCCCGCCATTAGATTTTGCATGGCAAGTCCACTACAACCGTACACACTGTCATACCAACTCTGCATAAAAGATCATGAACTTTGTAAGGTCATACTCATAAATGTACTATAACGGGTTGTACCTGCCAAGTATGGGTTAAGTTTCCCCGCAAAAAAGGCGACGGCCATCTTAGGGCCCGGTCACACATGCACTCGAAAGTAGCGTATACGCTGAAGCGAGGTCGCAGGAGCGAAAAATGGCATGGCAACGGCGAAAAGCGGAACTTCCGCTTCAGCGGAAACTCCAATCCGCTTCCTCCAAAATTTTCGAAGCGAGACTGTCGCTTCTGCGGATTCGCTTCAGCGGAAAACACCACGGTCTGCTGTATATGGACTTGCTACGAGAAATTTGTATGCGTATGATGTCCATGCAACAAAAATGCGTGCAAGATAGTCATTGACCTCGTCTATTTTCCGTACCGTATGTTCCACAGTCCACTTTACTCCCATTTTCCGCCAAAGTAGGAGTTGTGCCCTGTTTGTATGTGTGACCATACACAAGTGGTTTCGCTGGAGCGACACCAGGCTCGCTGCCGCCGAACCTCGTCGCCGAAGCGAATCCCAGTGCATGTGTGACCGGGCCCTTAGATGCATACCTCCCGGGCCATAGCAGTAAGATGCCGGCGAGTGAGAACGTGCAACACAATACAGACTGATGTTGTTGCGCAACAACGGCGCGTTTACAAAAGTGAAAGACTTTTCATGCCGCAGGGGCACCGGAAGGTATTTTAGTGTGGTGCGGTCAGCCATCTGCAATACAATTTACTTGTGGGGGGGGGAGGGGATGGTTGAGCCGAAAAAATTGGAAATTCAGAGCCCGAAATCAGTGCATTTTATTGATTCACGGGGTACTTGGGGCAAAGAGTGGTACGGTCAATACCGTAGTGACCGTACCGTGTGCGACGCCCCTGCATGGCTTATGCATGCTGTTGTTTAGTTTTATTTTGTAGTGTTTTAGTCACCGTTAGGTGCTGCATCTGCCGCTAGGGTTTATCGGGTGTTAGCGGCCGTCGTGAGTTCCCTTCGGGAACGGACACGATAATTTACTTTTTTTTAAATTTTGTTAGTCCTGACTTTGTTGCATTGTTTCGGTTGCACGTGCACTCTTCTGTGCACCATGGAACGGCTACGTCATTATCACATGTTGTGTTCTGTTCTGCGCATGCTCACATGCTGCCACGATGTTTGTCTTTTTCTTCAGTTATCTGTTTTGCCTCGTCGCGTCCGGTCTTCTTGTTCGTCCGTCTCCGTCTTCTCAAGAAATTATGTAGAACTCTTAGTTCAGTTGCGTTGTGTGTGGGGAGTTGGATGGGCAGGGAGGCTGGGCAGGGAGGCTGGGCAGGGAGGCTGGGCAGGGAGGCTGGGCAGGGAGGCTGGGCAGGGAGGCTGGGCAGGGAGGCTGGGTAGGGAGGAGGCTGAGCAGGGAGGCTGGGTAGGGAGGAGGCTGAGCAGGGAGGCTGGGCAGGGAGGATGGGCAGGGAGGATGGGCAGGGAGGCTGGGCAGGGAGGCTGGGCAGGGAGGCTGGGCAGGGAGGCTGGGCAGGGAGGCTGGGTAGGGAGGAGGCTGAGCAGGGAGGCTGGGTAGGGAGGAGGCTGAGCAGGGAGGATGGGCAGGGAGGCTGGGCAGGGACGCTGGGCAGGGAGGCTGGGCCCCTGACGCCTGGAAAACATGTGCTGGTGCACAAAAGATGTCATACTGACATTTTAACTATGACATCAGGCTTTCTCTCAGATGTACCGTAAAGTACCGTTGATCCGCCCCCTCTCTAATTCCCGCCCCCTGTCAACTTTCTACTTGTGAAGCGACTTCGGCGTATACAACGAAATAACATGTTGAACCGAGGCATGCACTGCTGTACACAATACGTGCCAATCCAGGATGAAAATGTACACAATTCAGCACATCGTGTCTGATCCTCCACGTTGTTGTACATCGTACCGCACTTGACATCCTTGATCTAATTCCCGCCCTCTGCCGAAAACCCAGCTGGGAATCGACATGGCGTGGGGGGCGGATCAACGGTATTTTACGGTACATGGCCCCCGCAGGTAGGGGAAGATGAAATGAAATTAACTTCTAAAATAACGGAATAGAGGTAGCCACTTTGGCGATAATGGAGGAATGTGCGTGTTCTTCACGGCCATCCATATGTAGCTCCCCCCCCCCTCTACTTAACCCATGAGCATTGTTGCATAATGTAAGGTGATACTGCAACTGATCCATTCTGGCTCTTACCAAAGTCGTTGCAGCGAGCTTTCTGGACCAACAACTGTTCATCCTGGCTGTGTTTCGTGATGTTACATCTTGGGCAATCTTGGTCAACTGCATAGGTAGAGAGACAAAAAAATAATTATTTATGGATATTTCAATAACCTACGAGGAGATAATAGTCGTAAAACGGCAATGAATAAAACTAATTGTGCACTCATGAGTCATAACCATGTTGTTGCGTATCGGTTCTATTAGAAAGAAAGACTTTTCATCGCTCATTTTTTTGTGGTCCTTTGGTTTATTTGGTCTTGTTTTGCGTTCTCCTTTTGACTCTGTTGTCTGTTTTGGTTGCATGTGTAGTTTGTACATGAACCAAGTAACGGTTACGTCATTGTCATGCGTTATGTTTCGTTTGCGCGCATGCTCATGTGCTGCCATGATGTTTGTTATTGTCTTCAGTTTCCAGTTTACCTCGTCGTGTCCAGTCTTCTTGTTTGTCCGTCTCCGTCTTGTCGAATAATTATGTAAAACTTCAGTTCAGTTTCGTTGTTTTGTGTGGCGGGTCGGATGGGCAGGGAGGCTGGGTCCCTGACGCCTGGACAACATGTGCGGGTGCACACAAATGTACATGTGTCATGGCTGCGCGTTGGCGGGTTTGTGACTTGGCTTAGATCAGTCTAGTGGCTACCCAGGTAGACGACCAATATTGTCGCCATCCAAGTTAGCTAGCTCACACAGAACGACAGGTTTTTAATTCCACTTGAACAGTGTTTATCGAACCATTGCAATGCCAAATCGAAAGATCAAGCGTGAAGAGTCAAAGACCCAAAGCAGGAGAGAGTCGGAGGAGTAGTGAGCTCCCCGAGAGTCGAGAGGAGTAGTGAGCTCCCCGAGAGTCGAGGATGAATGCCAGCAAAACAGCTCCTTTTATATGGTACATTATGTGATCAAAAGTGCACATCATGGTTGCCTGTGGAGCACATTACATAACTTTACAGTCTCCTAAAATACGTACGTATCCTGTCCGACGGCAAAAGAGGCTGCAGATTTAGTTTTTCTGCGCGTCGACGGGATGTCTGCGACGCGAAAGTTCAGCTCGCGTTATTTGGCTCGCACGTCGAAAAAATCAACGCGAGTGACCTGCTGCTCACGTCGAAATTTGGACATTACATAACGTTACAGTCTCGTATATAAATACGTATCCTGTTCGACGGCAAAAGAGGCTGCAGATTTAGTTTTTCTGCGCGTCGACGGGATGTCTGTCCTGACGTTTACTGGGACCGGCGCTGACTCTGCCGATCACGGCGTTCTGGACTCGACGGGATGTCTGTCCTGACGTTTCCTGGGACCGGCTTAGACTCTGCCGATCACGGGCGTTCTGGACTCAACGGGATGTCTGTCCTGACGTTGCCTGGTACCGCCGGACTCTACCGATCACGGGCGTTCTGGAGTCGACGGGATCTCTCTTCCGACGTTTCCTGTGACCGGCACTGAATCGCTCGTTCACGCTTATTTTGGAGACGACGGGATCTCTCTTCCAAAGTATGTTTATGCTGACGCATCCTATCACCTAATCGGCGTCTATTCTAATTTAATTTCCTCCTCGTCTCCCTATTTCTTTTCAAATCCCATTCTACATCAGGGAGTCATATGCATAATACGACGAATATTGGTACGGTACGGGACAGATACAGGAGCCCGCAAATATTGTGGACAGCTGTTATGTACAATCCTGTAGAGCCTTTGTAGTCACAGATACGGGACAGATACGGGATAGCGCCAGGCGTGACACAAACAAACAAACAAACACACAAACAAACAAATACCAAATTAAAGCTGTGTGGACCCTGGCTAGCGCCAGACGTTACTGAAGTAACGTCTTCTGCATAGCTACGGGAATAAATATTACTACAGTGGAGATTGGATATAACGACACTCCTTCGGCAGAAAGCAAAATGTCGCTATAATCGATCTGTCACTAAACCCGATTTGTCGTTATACCCAAGGTCGTTACATCCAATCTCCACTGTAAATGAAAAAAATCCAGAACGTTTTCTCGCGACTATCATCAGTGGAACATCGTCACTCTTCAAATAATACGCACTCACCCTTTGTTGTCCACACACGCACACATGTAACATAGTTACCGCACTCATTTGCCGCCACAATTTTCACATTCAATGCATAAGCTCACACTGCTGGTGTAATTGACGCTATGTGTAACCGCGAGCTGCTATTTTGGTGAATATTATTCTCGCTACATAACTGGTTGTTTTAGTGATTTCTCGCATGTGACGATGTTCCACTGATGATAGTCATGAGAAAACGTTCTGGATTTTTTTCATTTCGTAATAATTATTGTTTTCTACATGTACATGGTTATGACTCATGAGTGCACAATTAGTTTTATTCATTGCCATTTATGGATATGCGTGCATGGGGGCGTGTGTGTGTGTGTGTGTGTACACGTGTGTGTGTGTGTGTGTGTGTGTGTGTGTATGTATGTATGTGTGTGTGTGTGTGTGTGTGTGTGTGTGCTTGCGCGTACGTACGTGTGTGTATATGTGTATGTGCATGTGTCAGTTACTCACCCGGGTGTCCGTAACGAGAGGGTGGTCCAGAGAGACACACTGAGGGACCCTGCGAGGTTACACGGTAATAATCATCAGACGTGTAGCTCGTGTATTGTCAGCGTAGTCCTAACTAAACTTTTTTTTCGGTTCGTGAAAATAATCGATAACGCCGGATAACCCCTTACGCGTTATAAAGTACCCATACTCAACTTGCATCTGATCTACTGAAGCTCCGACCTACCGTTAAGTTGTCTGGGCTTTTGGCAGATGGCGGCTTCGCGTCTGTAGTTGCATAAGCTGGTCTCGATCGATCCATTTCCGCCCATGTAAAAGCAGCTGCTCCCTGCCCAGCTCTGGTAGAAGTCAGACTTGATGGGTGGCTGGTAAGGGGAACCGACCAGCGATCGCATGCTGTACATCCAGTAGGGACCTCTGCAGTGATGAACAGTCACATCAGCACAACGTCTTCAATCGACTGCTTTCACATCTATCACATGACCATACAGGGCAGCCATGTTGGTTCCAACCCTGCTCAACCCCTGCATCTATGGGTCACATGATGCCGGCCATGTTGCTTCCAACTCCGCTCAACCCCTGCATCTATGGGTCGCGCGATGTCGGCCATGTTGGGTCCACTGTCCACATGATCATGATCACTTTCTGCACAAAGCTAGTCACATGACCAGGATGTGACACTGTTCTATACTCGGAGGCTCCACAGCAGACAATCAATCATCTTTTTTTTTACTTTGTTTTACTTCGCAAAATCCAAACAGGAATTTCTTCCCAATAACAATCTCACCAACACCTTCACAGCCATGGTCTTCTGCTGAAATTGAAATAAGTTTTTCTCCAAATTTTCGCCCCTGGGTCTTCATCAGGGAGTATTAAGGCCGATTCACATTACAACTTTCTGTGACACGGCACGCGATTTGCGACAGCTGCGACAAGAAACTACCTGTCACGAGCTGTCGCGTGCAGTCGCAAGGCACCTGTCGCAGAAGTTGAAGAAAGGTCAACGTTTGCGACATGCGACGCGCGGCATACACAAATGGAGTACAGTTTCTACCCTGGATGCACGTACATAGTACTACTAGTGAATAAGGATGTCGCAAACATGAAAAAGATTGTGAACCGTGTGTCGCTGTCGCAGCGCGTCGCAGGTGTCGCAAGTCAGATGTCGCGTCGCAAGAAGTTGTATTGTGAATCGGCCTTAACACTGAAATCAAAGCGGGCTCAGCTGCAGTATACACACCCCACATGTATGATCAACCGCAATTGCAGTGGAAGAAGACCTCGGTTGTGAAGCTGTTGGAGAGATTACATCAAGCAAGCCAAGAACACTGCCAGCGAGCAATGTGTATGTGTGTGTGTGTGTGTGTGTGTGTGTGTGTGTGTGTGTGTGTGTGTGTGTGTGTGTGTGTGTGTGTGTGAGTGTGTGTGCGTGTGCATGTGTGTGCATGTGCGAGTGAGTGTGTGTGTGTGTGTGTGTGTGTGTGTGTGTGTGTGTGTGTGTGTGTGTGTGTGTGTGTGTGTGAGGTGGGTTGGTGTTTTTTGGCAAAAGCTGGGCTAGCTCTCACGTTCGATGCGCTCCCGTTACCCCGACATCCCTTTACCCGGACATCCCATACCTGAATAGGGCCATACCTGAATAGGGGGCCACCCCGGCTAGGAGACACGTCCGTAAGACCAATCCAGGTATTTGTCGAGTGGATCATTCTGGTCAGTAGCTGGTGCACCTATCGCAATAGCATACCAAACACAAACACAAAGATAGCCATGGCAGGGCCGTCGGACACGCTACAGTCACTACGGTATTGACCGTACCACCCTTTGTTCCAGACATTCCGTGAATCAATAAAAGGCACTGATTTAGACTTGAAATTTCAAAGTTTTTCAGAGAAGCCAGGAGTACATATGGTATTGACCATACCACCCTTTGTTCCAGACACTCCGTGAATCAATAAAAGGCACTGATTTAGACTTGAAATTTCAAAGTTTTTCAGAGAAGCCAGGAGTACATATGGTATTGACCGTACCACCCTTTGTTCCAGACACTCCGTGAATCAATAAAAGGCACTGATTTAGACTTGAAATTTCAAAGTTTTTCAGAGAAGCCAGGAGTACATATGGTATTGACCGTACCACCCTTTGTTCCAGACACTCCGTGAATCAATAAAAGGCACTGATTTAGACTTGAAATTTCAAAGTTTTTCAGAGAAGCCAGGAGTACATATGGTATTGACCGTACCACCCTTTGTTCCAGACACTCCGTGAATCAATAAAAGGCACTGATTTAGACTTGAAATTTCAAAGTTTTTCAGAGAAGCCAGGAGTACATAATGGTATTGACCGTACCACCCTTTGTTCCAGACACTCCGTGAATCAATAAAAGGCACTGATTTAGACTTGAAATTTCAAAGTTTTTCAGAGAAGCCAGGAGTACATATGGTATTGACCGTACCACCCTTTGTTCCAGACACTCCGTGAATCAATAAAAGGCACTGATTTAGACTTGAAATTTCAAAGTTTTTCAGAGAAGCCAGGAGTACATATGGTATTGACCGTACCACCCTTTGTTCCAGACACTCCGTGAATCAATAAAAGGCACTGATTTAGACTTGAAATTTCAAAGTTTTTCAGAGAAGCCAGGAGTACATATGGTATTGACCGTACCACCCTTTGTTCCAGACACTCCGTGAATCAATAAAAGGCACTGATTTAGACTTGAAATTTCAAAGTTTTTCAGAGAAGCCAGGAGTACATATGGTATTGACCGTACCACCCTTTGTTCCAGACACTCCGTGAATCAATAAAAGGCACTGATTTAGACTCGAAATTTGGAAGTTTTTCAGAGAAGCCAGGAGTATACTGTACTTCAGGTGGCTGACCGTACCACCCGAAAATATCTTCCGACGCCCCTGATAGTAGGGGAGGGGCATCCTGCGGCTTTTTAACTCAAAGACGAATGGGGAGCACACATGCTCTCTCTCTGGACACTGCAAGTTCACAACTCAGCTCTCTGGATCATTATCGACGTTTCGGCAAATTGCCATCATCAGGATGCAATATGAAGTGGAAGTTTGCAAAGGAGCAGTTATTCCCGTCGCTATGCAGAAGACGTTACTTCAGTAACGTCTGGCGCTAGCCAGGGTCCACACAGCTTTAATTTGGTATTTGTTTGTTTGTGTCACGCCTGGCGCTATCCCGTATCTGTCCCGTACCGTACCGTACCATCAAACACAGCTGGCCACATACAGCTGGCCACAATATTCAAATAGGGCTTTCAAACACAAGATCATAACGTGAAGCAACTTGGAAGAATGAGTATGAACGCGAAGTGTATAAGGGAATGCATGTAGGGCAATAGTGCGGGTTCGAATCCCAGGTTATGCCTGAAAAAATAGGAGAATTGAAAAATTTATAACATCCCTATGCTTTTTTGCCTAGGTCATCAAGGCGGTAGACAGTGTCGTATTACCCTCGACCGTACCTGTCCCGTACCGTACCGTACCATCAAAGACGGCTGGACACAATGCATATTCAAATAGGGCTTTCAAATGCAAGATCATAACGTGAAGCAACTTGGAAGAATTGGTATGTATGCTAAGTGTATCGGGGGATGCATGCAGGGCGATAGTGCGGGTTCGAATCCCAGGTTATGTCTAAAAAAAAGGAGAAATTTATAAGAATTTATAACATCCCTATGCTTTTTTGTCTAGGTCATCAAGGCAAAAAAAGCATAGTGTAGGGCCCTGAGCTTGCAAGCTCTCTCGTCTACAGTAGGGTGGTGTTGTTTAGTAAGTCAGCACACGAAGCACAGAAGCCATTATAGTTTCGACTAGGCCTTTCGCACCATTGATTTTCAAGTCGAATACAATGGTCGTTAACAAGGTACTGTAAGCAAGTCCTTAAGGCCTAGGCCTGGTACTAGTCCAAGGCCTAGGCCTGGTACTAGTCCAAGGCCTAGGCCTGGTACTAGTCCAAGGCCTAGGCCTGGTACTAGTCCAAGGCCTAGGCCTGGTACTAGTCCAAGGCCTAGGCCTGGTACTAGTCCAAGGCCTAGGCCTGGTACTAGTCCAAGGCCTAGGCCTGGTACTAGTCCAAAGCCTAGGCCTGGTACTAGTCCAAGGCCTAGGCCTGGTACTAGTCCAAGGCCTAGGCCTGGTGCTAGTCCAAGGCCTAGGCCTGGTACTAGTCCAAGGCCTAGGCCTGGTACTAGTCCAAGGCCTAGTCGAAACTACAGTTATGGCTTCTGTGCTTAGTGTGCTGATTTGCTCTCCTCCAACCAAGAATTTATTTAGTAAGGTAAACACAACACAGATGCAAGAAGGCGATGGAAAAACCTTGTGTGAGATGATAGTAACTTCCACTCACATGTCACTTGCGTTGTTTTTCGACGCGCCAGCCATATAACGCGAGCTGAACTTTCGCGTCACGTCTGAAATAACGTGCATCTTAACCTCTCTGATGTTCCGTTTTTACTTTCAAAAAATGTATGGTGCGCACTCGCACTTGGAACTCTGCATGGACACTTTCAAGACCTGACATCATCTTCACTGACAGGCGCCCTAGGCGCCCGCCGACTGATCAAACTGCACTGCTGGGTCGAACTGTACTGTACGCAGAGTCCAGAATCCTGGTCCGTTGAAAGTGTTTTTTTTTTGCAAGAAAAGGTCTTTCCACGTGTTCTAGTGCCATGCAGGGATTCTGAGAGAATTCCAGGGATTCTGCAAGTGTTGTTAAGTGATTGAGATTTTTGTGGTTGGTCACATGGTGTATTAAGTGCTGTTCTGTTAGAAAGAACTTTTGTTACTTCGGCTATAAAAGGAACTAACTCTCCTGCACTACGGTGTTCGTGAACTAATTCTCCTGCACTACGGTGTTCGTGACAGCAGGAGGGTGGACACTGCAGTGCTTAATCAGTGCAGTGCAAGAATGGCCTTGGCTACGACTCTCGATCCCCCATTCTTCAGCACCTGACGGCACCGTCCCAAGTTGTGTGGTCTGCATACGTAGATCTACGTACCTCTTTGCTGGCGATTTCCGCAAGCTTGGATCTCCGGTAGTAGCACTGCATATGTGCCTTTTGTAATGTAAGCCGGCGATTGAGATTGACCACTGTGTAGCAGCTTTGCCCGTGAGCGGTCCAGTCCGTGGACCAGTCCGCGGGGCAGCCTGCAACGAAGGAGACCATAATCGAAAACAGGTCATCGCGTCTGAGGCAGACGGAATGTTCACCCCAGTTATCATATGGGTGCACGGGATCGACCAAAGCCAAGGAGGGCGAATGCACAACGCACAGTCCGCCGAGTCTCAGTCTCTAGAATACAGCGGCAGGACGCCAGAAGCCGGCCGAGTGTAGGAGGACAATGCTACATGACAAAGACGAGAGAAGGTTGAGAGCAAAAAGCGTGCAGTGCAGTAGACAACCGTTCGGCCGCCTGCATCGGGAGAAATTATCATAATAATTATTATCAACCTTGGACGGGGCGTAGCCTCTATGTACATGAGAAGACACAGGTATGTCCAAAACCAACTGAAGGAAATTGGGGAACATTCAGTGTGTGGACAGATCGTTCACCAACGTTAGTCGTTGCCGAAGGCAAACGAATTACTTACCAGAAGAGGTTGCAGCCGCTTGCACAACACTGGAACACGACAGGACCACCAGACATATCACGGACAGAACCGTCATTCCCAACACGGGACGAGAGAGCCTAGGCCCAACCATTGTTGTCGAGAGCAGGAGGAGCAGCGATCACGAACGGCAGCAACAAGTCAGTGCAGACACCTGAGCTTCAGGGGGACGACCAAACTGGAAAGAAAGCACAAAAATTAATGCTTCGCATGTTACATAATCATACCTGGTTTTCAGACCAAACGTGTAGCTAGCTACAACTAACTTGCACAAGTACATGCGCGCAGACAGAGTGCATGACCTCATGTACTCTTGCACTTTTCGTTGGTCTACCTATAAGGCTATACCTAGTACCTACGTCTAGTAGACCGGTTTACGAGCTACGGACGGTTGTAGTAGTAGTAGTAGATCTAGACAGATCTACACAAAGACCTCATGTCATGAGCTCATTAGCTAGTTGAAGTTAGTTACTTAGTTGTTCGTAGATCTTCTTCTACATACGTATATACATGTACATGTAGTAGATCTACTAGTACAGTTGTAGTACCGGTATTTAGACAACCCATTTTTCCGAGGATCTGATATCAATGTAGACATTTGGACGCGAGGGTAGAATACCCATACGATCATGTTCTTCTCCTGCACACCGGACACGGTGCAACGGGTATTGCCAGTAGATATCTACTACATATGGACAAGATCTGTGCCTACAACCAGGGATTACAGGTAGTACAATACCTTATAAGCAAGAGTGTATTGCGTGACCGATCATCCTTTCAATGTTCTTATCCTTCCTTTTCCTTTTCCACCTGGACTCCTCCTTGGTTTCCCTTTTCTCTCTAGCTCTTCTCTTGTACCTTCTTGCTATTATTCACTTTAAAAGCCCGGCTTTCAGTGCTAATGACGAGATATCTCGCTCTGTAAAGTCTACCTGACTGGGAAGCCCTCGCGTGATAATACCTTGCACACAGTCACAGGGTTGTGTGCCCATGTCATCTCCCAGTATAGTACTACTCCCAGTGCCTGCAATTAAACTTCGTGGATCTACAACGCTACACTGTACTGCTGAAATACTATAAACTTGAGTATAAATAGCAGGGAGTAGTACAATACCCCTAACTATTGTACTATCGTGACTCCCTGCTGATAAATTATAATTATAGTAGTCAATTGAGGTTCTGCAATGAGTGAAACCAAGAGTACAAATACGTTTCTGTGATCTTGGTATTAGGGCTCCGCGTATTTTGGGTCCAGATTTCTACTCCTAGATCAGGTTCTCTATACTCTTGAATGCTGTCCTGGTGGCTATGAATGTGAGCAAGAGTGCATGTGTTATGTACTCTTGATGTGAGTATGAATGATTTATGGATCGTGCACCGGTGTGGTATCACTGGTATGTGATGTATGATGCGTCTGCCAGCACATGGTGTCACAAAAGTGGAGGAATCAAAAATAGCGAAGACAAACATCCCTCCACGCACTAGTAGACCGTGCACTCCGGAAATCAGGAAGTAAAGTAACGTACACTGTACAATGTAGTTAGTTGAAGTGTCCCTGTCGGGCAGGTGGCAACGCTTGCCCATGCGAATCGTTCTACTACTAGTCGTAGATCTACGTGCCAGGACTCGGGGACGGGGGTGGGGGAAGGAAATAGAATCTTCGGTCGTGACTCATAGCACCAGAAATAGCATTGAATTTGTCGTGCGCACACGCACAGCGTGCCATGCCTGCAGCCAGCCTAGCCCGCAGCGCATCCTCCACAAAATTTGCTAGAGGAACTTCGATGCGCAGCTTTAAATTGATATGAAATAACCCAAAGGCAATAATTATGCCTATCGAGGGGTTCATTTGATTTAAAGAACAGTACCAGTACTAGTATGGCATACTGTACAAAGACAAGTAGGGCTTGATGAGGAGAGAAACGGGGAAAATCAACTGCAAGGTGGCGGAATTCCGTTGATTGCATAGGCATGGAATAGCTGTAAATTTCCCGAGGGCAGCATTGAAACTTTAAGCGAGGCCTCCGATGTATGAATCTTTGGGGATTCTTTACTCGCCGTACAATGATTATGTAGACTCTCGGAAGGATCTGCGCATGCATGCATGCATGTCCAGTCGAAAGTGTCCTGCTCGATTTTGAGAACTTTCTACGCACGGATTACATATTATTGATACCACACATTTATAGAAGATTTGCTTGCAAATAAGGCGAGTCCCTAAAATGCAACCTACATTTGCAAAATGGCAAGAGGATCTCTTTGCGCCACCTACAGCGCATGAGCTAGCATACCTTGTCCATTTATGGTGCCAGAGACTACGGTGTAGCCCGCAAGCATGCCATGCGTAGAATTTCTCCACAGGCTACCTATAAGGCGCGGCACGTCGTAGATTTGAATTAAATTTTAAATATTTGCGTTCTACCACTCGTCCGCAACTCGGACCGGAAACAGCCCTTGGCTTGCAAGCTTGGTGGCCGGCAGAAAACTACTACTTTTTTTGGCATGTCTCATTCATATTTGGTACGTGTTCGTGGATAAAGAATTGGAGCAGAATTCCAGGAATTGCCCGTGAAAAGCTTTGTATGGTTAAACACACAAATATGCAACACGGAAAATATATTGTGTATACAACGCCTCCGTGGATAGAAAGAGTCTGAGAGAAAGAGAAAGAGAAAGAAATGTTCAACGTCCTACCAACAGTAGTCAGCTGTGGGATGAAGATTATGCCTAGTAAAATAAATAAAATAATAATAATAATAATAATAAAGGGTTTGCTCCCCACACCGGAGCTCGCGCTATTCCGCCGACTTTACTTGACACTTGACTGACTCACGACTGCCATCTAGAGCACACGAGAAGTCCATCGAACCTTCGACTCGGCAAACCTGCAAGAAAGCACCACTCCCTGCTCAATACACAGTGTTTCGGGGAATTCACCCCTCATCAGTTGAGCTTGAGTAGGCTGAGGAAGATTTTGCCTGAAGAGCACCACTTATATAGTGCTCTCCAGGCACAAACATCACCAGGGATACAAACTTACAGAGACGCTCCGTTTCCAGCGCGACAAACACCTCGCGAACACCAGATAGCAGCGTGAGTCAGTGTCGCTCCTGGACGGTGAGACAGACGTCGAGGACCCTCGGTCATTCGCAACGCTGTCACCTCCAAACCAACTAGTCGCAAGCCCGCGCTGGGCACAACAGTACGAATTAGTGGTTGCGACTTCGGCGATGATTTGTAAGAAAGGGTTTGCTCCCCACACCGGAGCTCGCGCTATTCCGCCGACTTTACTTGACACTTGCAGTCGTGAGTCAGTCAAGTGTCAAGTAAAGTCGGCGGAATAGCGCGAGCTCCGGTGTGGGGAGCAAACCCTTTCTTACAAATCATCGCCGAAGTCGCAACCACTAATTAATAATAATAATAATAATAATAATGATGGCGATGATACCTACATACTCCCATAATTACACCATGGCATTGTACGACACCCTACTGCATGCTTACCATAAACATACAGTAAAACAGCGGGTACGCATGTGGATGCCAGCAACAGACTACATAACCCCCAGAGGGGGTTATGTAGTCTTGATGCCAGGGATACAACTGGGATCAATTTTTGGGTGAGGTATTCCATATTTGAGGATGAGAGGTGGATAACCACTTCGAATGTGGTTTGGTATGGCATGGTAATCAAATTTAATCCCTACCTCAACCTTGTTACAGAGAACTGCTAAACGCGAACCGAATGGGAAAACAACGAGGATGTCATACGATAGAAAGAGGATAACAGCTAGTAATGATGGTCTGACAGTTCATGGAATGTTTGCATTGTGCGAGTAACGCTCATATCCGCACATCATAACGAGCCTGATAGAGCGAAACTCTAGTCAGTGACCCCGAAGTTCCACTACCGGCACCAGTACAGTCATGTACAGCCAACCTTGCAAATAACAATCTCGTTTATTTAAAGCACCAAACTCTTGCAAAAAAATTGGTTGTGAGCAACACTGGCTCACACTCAAACAACTGCTTTTCACCAGAAAAATATTATATTTCAACGTTTCGGTCATGAAATAACCATCATCAGGAATGCTCACAACCAATTTTTTACTTATGAAGCTGCGTGATGCGTCCTACAAGATTTTAAAACTCGCAAAAGTAATAACAACACTATCTTCAAAGCAAGTAACCACTCGTGACTTGACCGCACACTTTTAACCTGGCGAATATACTGCTATTCTATGGAACTGTTTACCTCCTAGTCTAACATCGGAAGCCTCACTTTATAAATTTACAGCTGCCCTCAGGAAATTTACAGCCAACAATGCTTATGCAATCAACGGAATTCGGTCACCTTCCAGTTGATCTTCCCCGTTTCCCTCCTCATCAAGCGGCCCTAGCTGTCTTTGTACATACTTGTACCAGTACTGTTCTATCAATCGAATGAACCCCTCGATCGATGGGCATATTGCCTTTGGGTCATTTTCATAATTGGGAGGTTTAGTTCCCACGTAACGGAAACGCGTACGTGGGTGATACACGTAAAGTGGATGAAGGGCATCCACGTTGCAATGTTATGTTTAGTCACATAATAACAACACGTCTCTCATGGCCGAGCGAGGGTCGTTATTCCCAAGGTTGACTGCATGATATTGTCCATCTCGTCAACATGCACTAGGCCTCGACCAAATATGCTTGCGCATATTTCCGCATATTTTGTGAGACAGTTCATATATGGCATATTGAGCGACAAAGGGAATATTGGAATGAAACCAGCATATAATTCAAGTATTCTGAAGAAAATGAGGACATGCCGACAAAACATTCATATTATGGACAAAATGCGTTCAGAAATGCCTTTTATGGATGAATTTGGAATGGTTGAGGCGTTTGCTACATTTCCCCATGGATGAACACTATCACTACGGTTGCTGGGGACACACCCCAGCCATACTATTCCGCATGTGTTTTGATTTGCACCATAAGCATGATAACCGTGTAGCCAGTGAATATTCCAAGGTTGTAATTTGACTGAAATGATCTACACTTTCTGCTTATGTCGAGCATATTTTGGCATATTTTGGCATATCTTTTGGCATATCTTGCTAAGCCTTTGGCATATTATGGACGTTTTCCCTGATATGCGACGAGCATAATAATTATGCTCTTTTTTTAGCATATTTGGTCGAGGCCTAACATGCACTACACAACCTCAAGGCAAGAAATCGTTTCAAACACTCACCTTATTCGCAGCACAAGCCAAGGCACTGGTCACTTCGGTCACTTTGGGCAACACGACGCGTGAGTGGCGCTGAATGTCCAATGCTGTCTCCGCGACAGTAGTACTATAATTATAGGTGTTTCGGTATTCGTACGTACGCACCTCAAACTGTACTACCTACGACGCCAAGTGATTCGGAGAAACAGGCTCGGAGACTTACGACTGTTTAAAAACAATATTGGACTACAGATAGAGTACAGCAGTCTCCCCTCCCAACACCAGCACGTTTCTAACCAAACCACAGGCTGAGACGACAAGACGCATAGAGGACCTGACAGCTTACAACGCTCTGTTTTAATCTAGCCGTGCCTGGCTCTGGTTCCTGGAATCCCACCACCCGGTACCCCAGTAAACCTCACATGAGTCATGGGTCAGGTCCCCCAGCACCGCGCACTGGCATCGCTACAGACCTCCACGATAGCACTCGGGCGCCGCAAAGGTAACTGGAGCTAGCTACAAGGCAGCCCAAGATGGATCGAATCGGACCCGGAGAATCGTTTACATCTCAGAGGTGCAGAATCGAGCACGGACAGCGAGTCGCGCGAGCACGCCAGGGCCTATATGGCCTAGGGAGTCGTTTCTGGTGCATTTTTAAAATCATTTACCAAGCCGTTAATGCGTTCCGTACTACTACTAGTACTAGCAAACAGAACCTTACGTCTGTTTGCTGCTGCCCCAAGATATATATCCATGTCTTTCCGGTGCACCTACAGCGCATCAAGAAAGATCCCTGATCCCCACAGCTGTAGTACCAGTACTGGATCCAGTATCTTTTTGCTTTGCCTCTTTACTTCATTGAGGGTTTCACGCAATTGGCTTCGTGAATAACCGTTCTCCAGTATCCATTTACCTTTTTTCAAGACTTGGAGAATTCTCCAAACAAGTTACGACTTTGAGTTTACTGTCAGACCACTGTCCAGCTAGGATGAGAGTGTGTGGCGTGAATGCCGCGTGATTAGATTCCGGTACCCGTGCCATGTAATTGTACTGTTGCTTGGAGCATGCATACATGGAACGAAGGAAATCGTGTTCTATTTAATCCGATTCCCAGATGGTTTTCTTGTGGTCTGCCGGTGTCAAGTCGTGAATTCCTGTGCGTGGAGAATCACTCCACATGCGCAGAAAACATGTTAAAGACGGATATCTAGTTGAGTCAAACAGGATCCTCGGAAATCAGCGCCGTGTCCTCTCCAGGGTTAAAGGGGAAGTGCATCGATTTTTCAAGTAGGGCTCAGATGAAAGACAATTGGATATCGGTTCCGATGGTATATCTCTCGCTTGCGTCCGGCAAGGGAAACTTGCCATATCGCCGATTTCCTGATCCCGTTTCCATGGCGACTACAGGTGATGACGCACATTCTGCTTAGCTCCGTGAGAGAGAAGGTCGATCAGTGAAGAATTGTGTCATTTTCAGTTGTCTTCTTGTATTCACGAAGTGAAAGAAGTACTGTGTTCAAGGCTGTTAGTGCCGTGAACTGTTTATCAGTAGTCCTCTCCGTTGTGTACTGGGACGTGACACCGACAGAGGAAAGCTGGAGTGCGGAGACGTTAGCTGGCAAGCGAAAATCGTGACGAACCAAGTGCTGAAATCTTGGTTGGGACAAATCAAACGTTCAGCATTTACCTCAACCAAGGACCATGCCGTTTGCTCTTTCCACTTCCTGAAGGTGGATGCGCTGCCTGCTGGAGACTCTCCTATCTCTCGTAACATCTTCTGAAGCCAGGTGAGACGACGAGTAGCGGAGATTAGCGAACGAAATAATGTCGTATGTTTTGAATTTTTTGCTGAACATTTCTCAGGAGAGATGGCGAATACCAAGCATCTTCTCCAAGTCTAGAGAAACCATTTCGTAGGCTACATTCCGCCTAGGGAAATGCAGGAGATGGCCTGGCTGGGGAGGACACACTTGGAGGAGAACGAAGTAAGTGATCTTGTTTGTTGTTCTTTGGTATTGCAATCTTATGTTTGACGAACATACGGCATGGTGCATAGTTGGTCGTTGAGTGCCTGCATGTGCATGTATAAGTGTGTGCTGATAAACACTTCCTATGCAAGAATCTGACACTCATGCTCTCTTTATTTCTTGCCGAGTATGTGCGCACGTGTGTGTGTGTGTGTGTGAGAGAGAGAGAGAGAGTGTGTGTGTGCAGGAGCAGCGTGGAGCATGCCAGTGTGATCGCTGTGGCCGTTGCTTTCTTAGCTGTGGCGTTCTTGCTCGTCACAAGTGTGTGGCTCAGCCCCCAACGACAGTGGAGCCGTGTTGTGGTGAATACTGTGTGTCCTGCGACCGCTGCTTCCGTTCGGTCCAGGGCAGGAATAGACACCGCTGCTGAAGCTCTCCCCGGCCGTACGTCAGTCTCGTGGCAGATGACCCGAACTCTCATTTTGTGTGTGTGTGTGTGTGTGTGTGTGTGTGTGTGTGTGTGGTGTATGTTTATGTATGTGTGTTGCTCCCTACGTAGACAAACTCTTGTTTTTGTGTCCCGTGCGCCCAGGGGGGGCCGTTCTCCCATTCTCTCTCCACTGCCCCTCCGGGCCCACGTGGCAGTGACTCGACAGGGCAAGTGTGTGTATGGTGCATTTTGTGTGCTGGCATGTCTGTATAAATATGTTGGACAGAATTTGTTCACCCACAACGTTCACGGAAAACCATGCTAAGTGTTGCTGGAACGTATGGAGTCTGCGAGCACTTACAATAACTTACGTCATGTCACAACAAAGAACGGTGCAGTGTTTGACCCTCATGTAAACATGATGGTGATGGTACCTCATGTAAGCTACCCATGAAGCTAGAAAGAACATCAGGTCAACAGAATTGTACCAGAGGAAAGCATCTATTGCCCGAACTTCTTCATTTGAAATGATCAATACCCTTCCCCATAGAGACAACATGCAGATGATGTGTATGGACAAATAATATATAAATAGGCCATTCACTGAGGGCATGGAATGATCTCTACGTGTAGATTGGATAGACACATGCACGTCTGCAAGGAAAGCATTTGTTCATGGGTTAGTTCATGGGCTGATTGAGTTCACATGGACTAAGTTCATACATGCCATCTCTCCTGAGATATGTTCAGCAAAAAATTCAAAACATACGACATTATTTCGTTCGCTAATCTCCGCTACTCGTCGTCTCACCTGGCTTCAGAAGATGTTACGAGAGATAGGAGAGTCTCCAGCAGGCAGCGCATCCACCTTCAGGAAGTGGAAAGAGCAAACGGCATGGTCCTTGGTTGAGGTAAATGCTGAACGTTTGATTTGTCCCAACCAAGATTTCAGCACTTGGTTCGTCACGATTTTCGCTTGCCAGCTAACGTCTCCGCACTCCAGCTTTCCTCTGTCGGTGTCACGTCCCAGTACACAACGGAGAGGACTATGATAAACAGTTCACGGCACTAACAGCCTTGAACACAGTACTTCTTTCACTTCGTGAATACAAGAAGACAACTGAAAATGACACAATTCTTCACTGATCGACCTTCTCTCTCACGGAGCTAAGCAGAATGTGCGTCATCACCTGTAGTCGCCATGGAAACGGGATCAGGAAATCGGCGATATGGCAAGTTTCCCTTGCCGGACGCAAGCGAGAGATATACCATCGGAACCGATATCCAATTGTCTTTCATCTGAGCCCTACTTGAAAAATCGATGCACTTCCCCTTTAATCCCGCTCCCTGCATGGTGGGATCCGAGTGGGCCTGCGTCACAGTGCGTGCACCGATCACGTAAGATTGTACCAAGAGTATAATTATTATAGGGGGTTATAAATATAATACTCTTGCAGCTTGATAGGGTCCGGCGGATTCTGCCGGCAGAAAAATTGGCAGAATTCGGTACTTTTTCTGGTAAGTTTCATGCAGGTTTGGTGTGTGGATAAAAAGATGGAGCAGAATTCGAGGAATTTCCCGCCATAAGGTTTGTATGGTTCTGCGAATTTCACTGCTTTTCGAGCAGAATCTGCCACCTTTTCGAGCAGAATCCGCCGGTCCCTACACCTTGATTATACTGCTCATACAACAGCACGCGTTGCTCTGGTGAATACGGTGATGATGGTCCTCGGAAACGCAGATATAAAAATAGTGACGCAAGTCGAACAATGGCGGTCGCTGTATGTATTTCTTCATAAAGTAAACTGCTAGATACCTGTATACAATGAGATGCCCGGCGGAAAGGCGAAGCATGCAGTACCACGTAATAGGAATAGTAGAAATGAGCACGTATTTGGCGAGTAGCGACATAAATATATTATTATAATATTTATTATTACATCTCAAGACTCAATGGAAACACCGGTCAATGTGTTGGGGGGGGGGGGGACCTCTCCCAGTATTACTGAAATACATGATGGTCTATAGTATTGTACCTGTCTGCTTCTACATGACACTGTATATACATGTAGTAATAGATCTGCACAAGGCAGAACAACAGAGACCAAAAATCCTTCTCGTAACTCCGAGCTTCGTGTTCATAAACACTCATGAGACGAAAGGACCTCAGACACTTTGTCTAGTAATAGATCTGGCAATGGTGCATGGTTAAACGTACATGTACAATGTGCATTAGTATGTATGCACAGGCAAACCGGTGTTTCTCTGGCGCATCCTTCAGCTTAAATACATGTTTGCCTGGATGGGCTCACTCCACCTTTGGTCAATCCTTCAATAAAAAAATGAATCAGTCACTCCACATGTACCCCTCTGCTAAAGCAAGCCTCGGAAGTGGTTGTGACACTTCACATCTTCACAAGTGAACGTGCTGCCAACACCAACACCAAACACGCGTCGGCATAATGATGTACAGTCAGGTACATGTATCGTGACATTGTACATACACAATCATGTAGAGAGTCTACATGTAGATCTACACGTACATGATTATGCATGTACATCTGCATCACTATGCTCAGGCTATTTCGAAACATCTACATGACACGGATTATGACTGCTTTCTTAGGTTCGTGCATGCTGCATGCTGTGACGGTGTCACGCCTGAATCCCGCACCGCAATTCAGTCAGGAATTCTGGGGATACTTGTAGGTCTTTGGGGCACAAGGAAACGGAGTAAGCCGAAACATTCCTCCTGTCGTCCGCTCTCGTCAGGATGTGGGAAATTGGTGAATGCAGTGAATCCACTGTAAAAAAAAGTAAATTATCGTGTCCGTTCCCGAAGGGAACTCACGACGGCCGCTAACACCCGGTAAACCCTAGCGACAATCCACTGTAGACGGTGGCAAAGTCATTGCCGGAATTCACTCAGTGTCACACAACGATTACGCAACACTGCAACAGTACTGACATGCCTACAGAGTACCTCTTAGGTCACTGGTTTGAGGGAAAGATGCAAACGGGAAAAGTCTGAAGAAGAAAAATTGATTCTCACCACCAGGACTCGAACGAGGGACCTTCGCTTTTTAGTTGTTGCCATTCCCCCCCCCCCCTCCCAAATGCACACGTTAGGGCTCTCCGCCTTCTACGTGAAATACAACAGAAAGAGAACCAATAGCAAACATTTGAAAATCCTCGTTCCGTCTGACCGCTTTCTCCGCGGACAAAAGAAAACTAGAGGGAAAAAGAAGCAAAAGTGAAGAGTATGACGCGGTTTAGGCACCACTGGGAGTCAGTGAGTGAGAGCAGCAGGCCTCAGCAACGGCCAGTGTTGCAGAGGCATCTGTCACCTCACCGACTCATGTTGGGCATTGTTTCTTTGTTTGTATACTTTATTTGAATTCGCTAATCCAAACGAGCACAAATGCTCAATGACAAGGCAGCGAATATGTTACCATGTTGCAGGGAAGGAGGGTTGGGGAGAAAATAAGGAGAAAAAAGAGAGAATGGTAGATATCTCAATGAAGAGCGAAGCGTTATCAAAACTACAAGTGAGCCAGCGAACGACAGTTCTGTAACCAGCCTAATAACTAAGTACATTTTTCAGGCGTGCAATGGATAGGCCTGGGTGGATAATGCTAGTTATTTTGCGGGATAATGCTAATGGCAATGCCAGAAAAACTGTATCATAGTGCTACTTATAATGCTGCTGTTCCTCTGTAATGCCAGCAATTCACCAGTGGTAAGTATGGAAAATGGCTTCAAAGTCTTCCAACTTTCTGCCCTTCCACCAGGCAAAGATTCTCGGTTTCTCCATTGGCGAAGGCTCCCTGGGGCTTCCACTATCGTACCCAGTGTGCGCCCCCCCCCCCCTCCATTGCTATCAGCCCATTGCACACGGTACGTCCGAGGTGCTCCGCTCAATTCATCCAAAACGGCAATACAATTTTTATTTATTCAACATCGTATGGCTTCCGATGGCAGCCAAAACGGGAATATGTGGGTGATAGCCAACCATGGTAAAAGAAGGAGAAGATTATATACATGAAAAGGAAACAGCCGAAAAGCTATATTGATTAGTTTTTTATTATTATGGTCCACTCAGTCATCAGCAGGCCCTCAGATTCACTTTAAATTCTTTCAATGGTGCAGAAGTCTTCACTGAGTCGGGAAGTTGTAGCCACGCAGGATCATGGCTAGTCTGGACCATGGGGCCGTAAATATGGTCCGCAACTCATGCATAGACGAAAGGAATGCTATTCAAGCATCTCCAAAATCACACATTTTGTTTTATCACACTCAAATTGTAGTGCTATTTTGAAGTGTTATAATCGCTATTGGTCTTATACTGTGTACATTCACTTTAAAACATATCTACACAGAAAAATGCTTTATTTACCATTCAGTGACGTATTCTAGCTGATGGTTGTCACAGGAAAACGTTCCTAGAGCCCACACAGTGTTCCTAAGTGATGTGTTTAGACGCATGAGTATTTAGAATATTGGAAATGTTCGCTCATTATGAATATTTGAATATTTATTATTTAAAGGATTTCCCAAAGGCATTGCCTATCGGGGGGATCTCCTAACAGTGAAAATGATCATTGATTTATATACTAGTGAAGCGACTTGTGCAGGCACATATATGCTGTTTATAATGTTTTTTTAATACCTTTAATAGTAGGCTTACTACGGCGAGTAGTCAGATGGTGAGCAAAGGAAAGTATTAGAATGGAAACAAGCTCGGAAAACGGTGGGGCACAAGTTATGCTTTAGAATCAGTACTCCTTTCCAGTCTCGTGCTACCTTGTGCACGTCTGACTGTTCAAAACCTGGTTTAGTTGGTGGATTCTAACGCATAACTTGTGCCCCGCCGTTTTCCTTGGTTCCACTTACTAAGGTTTCAGAACACGTTTTCTAGAGACATTCATCAGGGAAAATACGTCTCATGCAATAACGAAATCTAGCAATAAACAACGATAAAAATACGTGGAAGATCAAGAGTACGAAATGCAGTACATGTATGTGAAAGAAAATGAGGAGAAAAGAAGGTGAAGTGCGAAAGTCAAGTGTGAACTAATAACCTAGGGGTGGGCAGGTGAGAAATAATAACAATGTGAGACTCAGAGAGGGTGAAGTGTAAGGAGTACGAGCATGGGTATGTGGGTGGGTGTATGTGTGTGTTTGAATGCTAAGAGAATAGTCTAAGTTTAGTGACATTTTCTTTCTGGATGCATATGTTGGGGTTATGTTTGCGAATGAAAACAGCTTCCAAATTCCAACACTTAAACTTACTAAGGTGATTGCGATTTTAAAGCTTTCGTCTCCTCGTTGACTCTTCATACATGTATTTCCGCAACACCGGTATATTTGTACGTGAGCGTATGACTTGAACTACACAGTGTTTCGGGGAATTCCCACCTCATCATGATAAGGCCTCTTTTACAGGCAAACAGAATATAATTGACAATGGCATGGCGAATGATTAGAACACAACACCAAAAATTGAAAAACCATTGTATGTGTAAACGGTACCATATGGTGGGGGAAAGATCCAAGAGTCCCTAATACCCTTTTAACATCAAAATCAATGAAAAAACGCAAAAAAACGCCTCCTCAGGCTCATCAGCCTCATCAGTTGAACTAACACTTGAGTGGGCTAATGAAATGTGTACTTCGAGAGCACTGCATTCTGCACAGCGGTACTCTACAAGCCTAAACATCACCAATATCACAAGGGATGCCAACTAAAGTGAAACGTCGTTTCCAGCGCGATAAACACCTCGCCAACTCCAGACAGCAGCGTGAGTCAGTGTCGCTCATGGAGGCGCAGCACAAGCGCTGAGGACAGTAGGCCATTCACAACGTTGTCGCCTCCAAACCATAATTTGCAAGCCCGTGCTGGGGATAACAATGTGAACACGAAGCTGTGGCGCCTTCGGCGATACTTGGGGAATTGTGCGTTGCTCCATATGTCATTATGATCTTTGCATGGTTATGAAAAATAGACACCCCAACTGGTTGTCGTTATGGCTAGTTATCGATTTTCGTGATATCTGGAGATGATGACCATTGCTTTCCAAACCAAACCAACCCGCACGGTACTCTAGCTGGACGCTCATCAAGGCTCACACAAGAGGTTTAGAAGCGTCAACACGCTGTGTATTATCAAGTTAAGCCAATAGACTAATCGGATTGTGTAAAAGCAGTCAATATGGAACAAGAAAAACAAACAAGAAAAACAAACGGTATCCTGAACTTGCGACTGAAGTACATTGAACATGGTGGCTGTGGAGAGGGGAAATACTCCATTCCCAACCAGCACAGCCACTCTACTAATGTACATGATTAAGTCCAAGGTAAGAATCAGAACTTAGAAGTTGCGACTTCGGCGGTAATAGTCATGAAGTTGGTTTATCACAACTCCATGAGCGACTCTGACTCACGCTGCTACCTGGAGCTTCACGAGGTGTTTGTCGCGCTGGAAACAAAGCGTCTCTGTAAGTTTGTATCCCTGGTGATGGTTTGGCCTGGAGAGCAGTATATAAGTGGTGCTTTTCAGGCACAATCTTCCTCAGCCTACTCAAGCTCAACTGATGAGGGGTGAATTCCCCGAAACACCGTGTATTGAGCAGGGAGTGGTGCTTTCTTGCAGGTTTGCCGAGTGGAAGGTGCGACGTGTTCCTCGTGTGCTCCGGATGGCAGTCGTGAGTCAGTCAAGTGTCAAGTTCGGCAAGAAGCGTGTGCTCCTCGTTGGAGCAACCAACTTCGTAAGAATCAGGTTTAACATGGTGGTTAAGTTGAGTTGAGTTGGTAGAGTAAGAACCAGGTTTAACACAGTGGTTAAGTTGAGTTGGTAGAGTAGATCATGCTGAGTAGGTGCCCAGCTCAGTAAAGCATCTGACTGGCTGAATCAGACAGTTCGAAGTCTCCGAGCTTGGCAGTTTCCTAGCAAGGGATATCTTACTTTTTTCTTTCTTTTTTGTTGATTTTTACAACACAACACAATATTGTGGAAAGTACACAACAATAAGAGACAAGATCAAAAGGAAAGCTTTACAATAATAATAAAATTTATTATTATTGTAAAGCTTTCCTTTAATAATAATAATAAAACATAAGAAAGGATTTGCTCCCCACACTGGAGCTCGCTTTCTTACAAATCATCAAATCATCGCCGAAGTCGCAACCACTACTTCGTAATAATATAACATAGCCTGTAAAATCTTCACTAGCCTGTAAAATGCAAAGAGTTACTGAGTACAGTCATCCAGTATCCATGCCTAGGGGCATGTTACCGTCCACAGGTGGCGGTCGCCAGTGGGGACGCGAAGTAGCTCTTGGCACGAACCCAGCGAATCGCCACGCCAGGTTGGAACGAGAACTCTCCCGTGATGCCATGGACGGTGCCGGCGAGAAGGTACTCGTGGCGCGACCTCAGACCCAGCCCGCATGGTTGCTTGCAGCGTGACGTCATTGGGCTGGCAAGGGGCTTCTGGACGGGCAGGAGCTTGGGCTCAGGTTGTCTCTCCACGGGAACGCAGTAGGCTGTTGACTTCTGTACGTCATACTTGTCGGAGAGGATGCCAAAGGCGGCAGAGGTATTGGAGCAGATGGCCTTGATGTCGAGCAGGAAATGGCTGTTGCTCTCCTTGGCCATCCTTGCTACAATCACTGGACATCCAAATAGAACAACAGCCCACACCAGAAAAAGAGATACTTTTGGGCACAGGTATGCAAACACACGCACAGAGAACGAGAGAGAGAGAGAGAGAGAGAGAGAGAGAGAGAGAGAGAGAGAGAGAGAGAGAGAGAGAGAGAGAGAGAGAGAGAGAGAGAGAGAGAGAGAGAGAGAGAGAGAGAAGAGAGAGAGAGAGAGAGTGTGTGTGTGTGTGTGTGTGTGTGTGTGTGTGTGTGTGTGTGTGTGTGTGTGTGTGTGTGTGTGTGTGTGTGTGTGTGTGTGTGTGTGTGTGGATTCTTTCGTGGACAGTGTTTTTTCGTGACGTGAAATTTTGAATTTTTTTTCTTTCATTTTCAGTCGTTGGCACTGTAGCTGTCAGGTTGTTGTTACAGTACAGCAGTCGTCCGTTCTGCTCCATTGTTTCATCTGTTTTGCCAGTTCTGCTAGCTGATTCTATTTATTTGCCACTGCCCCTCATAGTGCTCATGCTTGGGTGGAGGGCGGCGTGACCCGTTTAGGGTAGCTGTATCATAGTAGTAGTAGTAGTGTGTGTGTGTGTGTGTGTGTGTGTGTGTGTGTGTGTGTGTGTGTGTGTGTGTGTGTGTGTGTGTGTGTGTGTGTGTGTGTGTGCGAGAGAGAGAGAGAGAGAGAGAGAGAGAGAGAGAGAGAGAGAGAGAGAGAGAGAGAGAGAGAGAGAGAGAGAGAGAGAGAGAGAGAGAGAGAAAGAGATAGGGAGAGAGATAGGGAGAGAGAGATAAGGAGAGAGATAGGGAGAGAGAGATAGGGGAGAGAGAAAGGGAAAGATTATAAATAACGTTAGAGAGACAGACAAACAAGCGCAGACAGACAGACAGAGACACATACATACTCAGTCTACATTCATGCGTACACAATTGTGGTGGTCTCTAAGCATCAATTTCGTAAGCCAATTCGAGCTCAGCTTATGAGGGGCCTGAAGTGTCCCTAAACACTGTTCATTGAGCAAGAAGCGGTTATTTCTTGTTACTTGCAGGTTAGGCAGTATGCACCAGATTGCAATCGCGAGCTAGCCAAGTGTGGGTCTGTCTGCAGGAGTAGCCATCTCTAAGATTAGTATCAGTGTACGAGTATACGCTGACGATGCGTGACCCATTTCCCTTCAATCTTAAGAAACCAACACACAGCATTGCCGCTTGCAAGTTGCCCTAACTGGTCCTTTCAAGTGCTTACGGAAGTCGCTGCAGCGAGACTTCTCAACCAGGTGCCTTTCCTCCTCACTCCTTCTCTTGATAGTGCATCTTGGGCAGACCTGGACATCTGCACACACACACACACACACACACACACACACACACACACACACACACACACACACACACACACACACACACACACACACACACACACACACACACACACACACACACACACACACACACACACACACACACACACACACACACACACACACACACACACACACACACATACATGCACAAACACACACACACAGAAATACGCACAGAAACACACACACAAATACACACACACATCGGTAGACAGACAACAAACACATGACACACATGCTGGTCAGGGCATATACATGTACGCATGGCACGTGAAAGACGTGCGACAGGCCCATTTCCAAAATGAACAAGAGACCGGTATGATTAAAATACGTGTAGAACAAATCACATGGAAACGAGTTATCGCACTTTCTGACGGCATATTTTCTTGTTACAGCTGTGGATAGTTGCTTCATAACTAGTTTCCATGTGATTTCTTCTATTTTAATTATATATACTGGTGAGGTATCCAAGTTTAAATACCGGTATGAAGTTTGCAATTCTGAACTTGACCAATGGACTTCCTGTGGTCAAAGAATTCGGGCTGTGCTCCCCCAACCTCTACCCCTACCCTGCCCACATAATCTAAGGATCGTCACCACTTAACACGGCTACAGTTGCAATACTTTTGTTGGTGTCTGTAGCGAAGAGGTGGTGACGTGTTGGCGGATAATGCCGGCGGATACATTGGCTGAGTTTTACAACTTTGGCAGACAGTTGGCAGAATTTTAGAATTTTAGCAGAAACATTGCCAGAATTTGATACATTTTCTGGCAGGTTTCATGCATGTTAGGTATCTGGACAAAAATCAGTAGAATTCAAGGAAGTGCCAGCCAACTGAGCAGCTTTTTGAGCAGAACCTGCCAACTTTCGAGCATTATCTTCCAATGGATAGTCGGGGTGTGTGCATGCTGAAGGACCATCCGTTGCTCTGCAAAATGTACATGTACAATGAAACCTGTCATGGCGACCACTCTGATAAGGCCATCACCTGTCCCTGAAGACAACAGCAACCAGGACCAAGGGATGCTACGTGCAGTCAAATGACCCTGGATAAGTAGGAAACCTGCTAACAGAGACCACGTTTTAAAGGTCCCTGAAGTGGTCGTCGTAGGAATTATAGTTTCACTGTATCTATTATTGAGAGTACTTCAAGTACATAGGCTGATCTGATTTAGTCCCTACCTGCTCTGGGCTTCTGGCAGATGACCGCCCGGACCCGTCTTGTGCATTTGCTGGTGACGATGCTCCCCGTTCCATTCATGTAGAAGCAGGTCTGACCATTCCATTGCTGGTAGAAGGCGGTTTCGATTCTCGGCTGATAGCTGGATCCCTCCAGTGTACGCTTGCCGTAGATCCAGTAAGGAATACTGCAGTGCAGAGTGCCCGTGAGCAAACACACAAACAAAATCAAGAATAGAGTGGCTTGACATATTTGTCATGTGACAAAATTTGTGCCGAAAGTGACCATGATTTCACGTGGACATCGCGTGTCCAATACAACGTGGATGCGGGAGTTGAGCAGGGTTGTAACCAACATGGCTGCCCTGTATGATCAGGTGATAGGTGTGAAGCCACTCTATTGCTACTGTCTATCACCACTCCCTCGCACTGTGTGTGTGTGTGTGCCAAGTGGTCAAGGGCTACGACTCCTACAAGACGAGTTGAGTGAAATAATAATATAAAATAATAATCCCTATCTTCCTCCAATCCCTCTCGTGTTTCCTATGATCGATATTAAAAAAAGGTGTTGTGTGTTTCTCTCTCTTGTTTACCTACCATCATATTTAATATCCATATGATGCATGGCCCCACCTTCGGCTGCTGAATGGTAGCCCGGTGGGTGCCTATCTCCGGCCTTCGGCCGAGTGCTGATGGATAATCAATGACTGTGAGGGTAAAGAATGTCAGTGCAACTGATCCCAATAGTTTTAGTTTGTAATATAGCAACAAGTTACGGCAAATCTGCATTTCTAGCGTTTGTCTAATGGCCTTGCTGGGCTGTGTCACAACGGTTGGATTTTTGCGCACTACTCGAACCGTCTCGACTCGGACTGGAGTAGTGCAGAGTCCTGGTATATGTACTTGATAACTGGCGGTTATGCACTCTTGTGTGCAACGCCACACAAATCTCTGTCACGACTCGTTTTCAACATTGCATCATTTTCATGTAGCTGCGCGTGCAGGCCACGACAATCGTCATGTAGCTGCGCGTGCAGGCCGCGACATTCGCTACCTGAAAATGACGCAATGTTGAAAACGAGTCGTGACAAGACCTTATCGCGAGTTGCACACTCTGGGGGTTATGGTCTCTTGCTAGTACTACTACTGGTCTTGTAAGTACATGCCACGACAAAGGTGAACAGTAATGTTCATAGCAATGAGTCGGTTCTAGGGGTGAAAGTTGGCACTGATATCCCGAGTTCGAGTACTCTGATTTTTTCCGATAGAATATTCGAGTATTCGACTATTCTTCATCTCCTAAAAATTGCACACCAAGGGCCTTAACATCACATGATACAACCCTGATTGAAGCGAGTGCCAGTCATTTTTCTCGGGTATATTGTTTGGCGGGTCATGTGGGCTCTCTCTAGTCGTGAAGAAATGTTCACCACACAGTCTGCACATCATATCTGGCGACTGCTGCTCTGAAACTGCAGATTTCTGTGGTGAATGCATGTACCATGTATGAACGAGTACTCTGATCTATTCCGAGTACGATTATTTTTGAAAAAACCGAGCGAGTACTCGAGTATTCGGTATAATTGTTTCACCCCTAGTAAAGAGCGAGCCAGATACAGGCCTACGACACAGTCGTCAAAAACCGTAAATCCCATGCACGGGGTTTATGATAATTATCATGCTCGGCTGGCTCAAATCTCCCCGCGATTCTTACGGCTGTTGTGGGGTAGGAGCCCGACGCACATCGGTAAGACCGATCCAGCTGTTTTCCGACTTGGACAGTTCGGCCACTAGCTGATGGACCTATCACAGTGGCATAGGAAGGATAAAGGCAACGGCATTTGAAATTATATCAGTTAGAGGCGAAGGAAACTGCTCATAGTAAAGAGTCGGCTTGGGGAAAGAGAGAGACAGAGAGACAAAGAGACAGAGAGAGAGACTGAGAGAGAGAGACAGACAGACAAAGAGACAGAGAGAGAGAGAGAGAGAGAGAGAGAGAGAGAGAGAGAGAAGAGAGAGAGAGAGAGAGAGAGAGAGAGAGAAAGAGAGAGAGAGAGAGAGAGAGAGAGAGAGAGAGAGAGAGAGAGAGAGAGACAGACAGACAGACAGAGACACAGAGAGAGACAGAGACAATGAGAGACCACCACACTGTACAACCATGTGCTGATTCACTAGATATACACTGCTTCAGTTCACTGTAAACGTACTTCACGTGTTCTGAGCTCCGCCGGCTCCGAATCCCGGTGGCGACACTGTCTA